GAAGAAGGATGATTAATGTCGATATTTGGAGGAGTTCAAGACTGAAGCTGAAATGAAGTAAGTCGCAGGAGACACTCTGTTGGCTTACAAGTCGGTTGATGATAGCCTTTTCACTTTTTCACGTTTGAAGTATGTTCAAACGTTTTCTTCAGGTAATAAGCAATAAAATGATTGAGAAATCGGATTTTTCCTTCGAATTTTTTGTTTGTCAGATTTTTTCCTTTTTTCATCTCTGTTTTATGAAATTTCAATTTTGAAAACATTGAGTATTGTTTTCTTTTTTACAGTTTTCACTCTCCACTGGTTTAGCCATTAAGTTTTTCTGTTCAAGGCATATGATCATTTAGTCTTTGGCATATTTTTGCTGTCACGTTTACGTTTATGCTGCTTACCAACTTTCTTTGTTTTTTAATTCAGTGATGGGAGGAATAGTAAGCATAATTAGAGACTCTTATGTCCATTTTCCTTTTTGATTTTTGTGTTACTGGTGCAGCCATTGTATATATTTGCTTTTCCCTTTTGTCATAAAGAATCTGTATATGTAGCTCTATATGATGTGGCCTTCACTTTGCTTTCCCTTTTATACTGAATGGATGTATATATATATCGTGTATGCAGCTATTAACTTTTAGAAAAAGTTCAATCCAATTATGCACTGGGGCAAAGCCACCTTGTGGAGAAGTCTGTATCTGATGGGGAACAGGAGCTGAATTGAAATTAGACGGAATAGGCAAACCGTAGCTCTAGGGATTTAAGAAAGACCGAGTCTTGGAAAGCTTCAAAAGCTTAGTTTTTATAAAATATCAGAATAACGTAATAACAAAAGCTGCAGAACTCCTCTATTTATAGAGAGATTCTGATTACCCATCCTAATCCTATTATGTTTACTAATAATTTCCTAAAACCTAGGATTAAAAACTGATGCCAAAATAAAAACTCTTAAATAAAAGGAAACTACTTAAACTAATAATTTATTATTAAAGCATCTCTGAAATCTTCCTGCATCAATTCTCCCCTGCTTGAAAGAAAACTCGTCCTCGAGTTTTGCCTTTCTTTTCCACGGTCAAAAGGATCTCCTGTTAACTTACTCCATTGCTTCGTTTGCTTTTGAAAAGCCTTCTTTCTTCGTCTTCTCCATGCATAAACAATTTGCTGATTCAGAAAGTTCTTAAACTCATAAACTTCCTGTAATGTTCTTGAAAAATTACAATTGAAACTGCAAACTGGATCAAATAAATCAAACGAACACTAGGCACCATTGCTGCTCGTGCTTGTAGCAGATCCTCTCGAGTGAAGCACAAACTTTGCTGAATCACTGGAAAATCTGCCACATTAACATAATTTTCTCCTGCCCAAGTATATTAAATCCATCAAACTCTTCCAAATCCTCCTTGTCTTCTACTGGTTCAGTTGGAGGAGAAAACCGAACAGCACCATGAACACCATCATTAACCAGCTCATCCAGAAACTCATCTGGGTAAACATCGTAAACTGGTGGTTTGTTCCAATCAAGATCATGCTTCTCCATGGATCATAATCTAATCCATATGAGAAAATCCCATCCTTCATATTACCTTCCAGTAAGTCTGAAAAATAGTCACTACAATCTAATCGTTCTTCAAGTTGACTGTGTTGATCTCCGGGACCATGGAACGGACTGACCTCTTCTACCTTATGTTTAAACACCTCATCAACACCTTCCGGTGGATCAGGATCTTCGATACCTTTGGGTATCAATCCTCGTGCTGCCGCACGGTTGTCACGTTGTTGGTTATGCACCAGCAACCTGAGTTGCGCAAGTTCTCGTCGCAATTCTTCAATGCCGACCACATAATCCTGATTCTGAACTCTCCTAGGGACAGCAACACAGCCTTCGCGTGCCATCGAAACCTGGGGCTCTGATACCAAATTGATGGGGAACAGGAGCTGAATTGGAATTAGACGGAATAGGCAAACCCTAGCTCTAGGGATTTAAGAAAGACCGAGTCTTTGAAAGCTTCAAAAGCTTAGTTTTTATAAAATATCAGAATGACGTAATAACAAAAGCTGCAGAACTCCTCTATTTATAGAGAGATTCTGATTTCCCTAATCCTAATCCTATTATGTTTACTAATTTCCTAAAACCTAGGACTAAAAACTGACGCCAAAATAAAAACTCTTAAATAAAAGGAAACTACATAAACTAATAATTTATTATTAAAGCATCTCTGAAATCTTCCTGCATCAGTATCTTTCTTAATTTTCAATTATGCTTTGGATTTCTTCATTCTGTAATTGTCAGTTTCTATATTCATTGTATTCTTTTTACATGTAGGGATGGCTTTTTGGCTGGTGGGTGTTAGCATTCATCTTATTTTCTGCAATTGGACAGTTTAATCATGTTGTTTTTGACATAACAAAGTAGAAGCTGCAGTGAACAACAATGATACCAGCCATATGGATTTTCTAATGTTCTTAAAAAGGTTTCTTGTGCTGTCATTTTCTCATTTGCTTGAAATGGAAATTCAGTCATGCATCATTACATTGATCAATTTTCTTCCTTTGCAGTTCTCCCATCTTTATTGGTCACCGGGAGGGTGGAAGTGGCTTTGCTGATGCTGCGGCAACTGCATGGAGCAGGTTTTGGATTTGGTGGGGATCCTAATTTGGACCTGCCAGACAAGAACCTCCTGCAAAGAAGACTGCAGAAGATGCCGCGAAGCAATGAAAAGGAGAATCCACTTCATGAGAGGTAGTTATGACTGACAAAGCTGGAGCTTCTGAAATAAAAATAAGGCAACTGATTGCAAGGTTCCATGGCACAATGACACCACATGTTCTGAGTACAAGAAGTTGCATCTCCATTCGATTGCAGAGGAAGAGATGTTGTTCTCCCTTGCACGATGATACTCATGGTGAATTTTGCCATTTGATTGAACTCTCTGCTGGTTGTTGGACTTTATGACAGTGCTACCATTATCATCAACCAGGAGAAGACTTTATGACAAAATAGATATGCACCAAAAATATCAAATGTGCAACAACTGGAACGAAGTTGATGATGGCAGCATTAGTAAATAATCAGGTGCTCATTCCAGAGAGGACATCTACAAGCTTTTCTATCTTTCTTCCATTCCATTCCACAGGTATAACAGAAGTGACATCCACGTCTGACAGAAAGGAACAAGACAAGAGGTCATTAGCATTCACCACATTTCATCTGCTAATTTCAGTAATCAGTATGATTCAATTGAGTACTTGCCTTTTTTATAATAATTATAGCAAGACCCTACATGAACAGTAATCAGTATGATTCCGCTGATTTGTAACATCTATTTCTAGCAAGACCCTTTTCATGCCCCCTCAATGATGTTTTTGAATTTCTGAAGTCAGTAAATCAGCAAATAGATTTATATAATAATTGCCGCATCCTTTTCATCAATGACACTACATGAATAAATTTTTGCACCACCATACTTTCTCATAAACCTTGCTTTAGACTGATGCTTTGCATTGTGATTTGCAGAAGCTGGCGGTAACAGGCGGTGAGAGATTATCTATTTTTCCCACGGTTGGTCAATATTTGGTCCAGTTTGCATTGATTTTGTCAAAAGATATAGGTGGCAAACCATCGAGTTCATATCTTTCCCTGATCAAGAACCCACTTCAGATCATCTTTACTCAGACTATTCTGTCGAGGGGAAGAATTTCGGTCAAGAAGGATCTGAAGTCTCTCCTACACTCTCAAGGTTTCTTGATGTTCTTGTTAGTCTTCCTTAGGCTGGTCAAGAAGAAGTAGCTGCATCATCTGTGTCAAAAGTTTAAAGAATGTCTCATGGGAAACCTACTTGGCATGGAAGGAGTCGTACATCGATATGGCAGACCGATGAACTTCTGGAAAAGGATAATGACAAAATTAAGGATCTGGAACCTGTTAAAATGTTTACATGGTATTTTTCTCAAAGCAGATAGTAGGAAATTGCAGGAAGAAGTATCGAGTATGTTTAGGGTATTCTCTGAGTCACATTGAAAATTGCATTTTGTGTCAGCAGTTGGGGACAGTCCCCCTCTTGATCCGTATACATGGCTAGCTTTCCTGCATCTTTGCAAGAGGTTATATTGAAAATTACTGAATATATACTGTAACTGTAGTAAATTGCTTCCTGATCAAGAGTTACTTTATTTGTGATGTTTACTCCAACAACTGATAACCTCCGAAATGAAGCATTTCTATCTTTGTTTGTAAAACTTTTATCCTTCGATTTTTTTTTTTTTTTTTTTGGATAAAAGTTGAGTTTCATTCCATTGAGTAATGATTATAGGTACAATCGCAGTATTTCTCCAAAATTCACTACACCTAGGATACTTGTTTGCGACAAATATTAATCAGCACAAAATAAGATGGTGAGCTTTGAGGTGCTGTCGGATGATCTTAAGCTTACTAATCAGTTGATGAGCCTTAATATGGTCAAGTTTGGCTTTCCTTTCTAACAAGTTATATTTTAAAAAATTGAAAGTTTTGCTGTTTCAAAGTTAGATACATAGTTTCTAGACAAAACGACAATGAAAACAAAATAATGTTCCGATATAAAATGGACGATACATAGTCTCTAGTATATTTTTATAGATAGATAGATTCCTCATAAGATCTTTTTCTCATATAAATACAAAACTAATTAATTATTTCACAAATTAATTAAGAAAAAATAAATCCATTCCAAGGTATTTCGTATAAATACAAAACTAATTAATTAGTTCTCAAATTAATTAAGAAAAAATAAATCCATTCCAAGGTATCGTTTACTCAAATAAGTAATTCAAAATTTTCACTAATTTCTTTTTTTATTCAAATTTTACCTACTCCATATTGTTAATATTTTTTCAGGTCAAAATGATTTTTTCGGTATGAATTTTATTTCTAACACAAATGTGATGTTATTGCAAATGAAATGTAAATACAACAATTAATGGTGTAGATATAAAGGTCAATCCGTCAATAGAAAGTCAGAAAGTACTTTTCCCAATTCCAGAAGAAGCCTAACTGAATTTCCCCCCAAAAATAAACTGCTCTGCCTTCTCTCTCTCCCTCTCTCTCTCTCTGCTCCGACTAATTTCATCAGTTAATCACCACCGCCGCCGCCGCCGCCGCCCTATTGCTTCCACGCACCACGCTACCCATTCAAAACCCAGGAAGAAAAACCCAAAATTTCTTCATCTCAACATCAGGAAATGGCCACAGACATGTCGTTTCATTCTCAGCTTGTTCTTTCCGTTCTACTTCTTTCCATGGCGGTTTCTTTGCCCATTTCCCATGCTCAGCAGAGTAAGAACTCATTCTTTATCCGTATCTTCGTTATGTTGGTTCTTGAATTGATTATTTTCTTACTTCTTGACGAATTTGCGTAATTTGATGTCTTCTTTTATTTATTTTTTTTTCTTTTTACTTTTGGTGTTTAATTTAGCTCCAAGTTATATGAAATTTGTGTTGAATGCGACGGATATGCCACCGGAAGACTACTACGATTACATCATCGTCGGAGGAGGAACCGCCGGCTGTCCCCTGGCGGCGACATTGTCCGGGAAATACAGGGTTCTTGTTTTAGAAAGAGGCGGTGTCCCACATACTCATCCAAACTTGATGACCCAAGAAGGATTCTTGCCGACCCTTTTAGATTCCAACTCTCCCGTTTCGCCAGCTCAGACTTTCATCTCCGAAGATGGTGTCCACAACGCAAGGGGGCGAGTTCTTGGGGGCAGCAGCGCCATTAATGCCGGATTTTACAGCAGGGCTGATGCTGAATTCTTTAGGGCTTCAGGGATGCATTGGGATCTCAGAGTTGTCAATAAATCTTATGAATGGGTTGAGAAGGCTATTGTGTTTAGGCCCGAGTTAAAGAATTGGCAATCTGCTGTTAGAGATGGGTTCTTGGAAGCTGGAATTGGTCCTTACAATGGTTTCGCATTGGATCATGTTGAGGGGACCAAGATTGGTGGTACCATATTTGATGCCAATGGCCAAAGACATAGTGCAGCTGATCTCTTGGGGTATTATGCAAATCCAAACAACATAACGGTGGCTGTCTATGCAACTGTGCAAAGGGTTCTTGTTGCTGCGTTTCCTCTTGTTGTGCCTAAAGCAATTGGGGTGGTTTTCAGGGATCAACTAGGGCAGTTTCATCATGCAATGCTGAGGGAAAAGGGGGAAATTTTCCTATCTGCTGGTGCAATTGGTACTCCACAGTTGTTGTTATTGAGTGGCATTGGTCCAAGGCCTTATCTTTCTTCATGGGGTATTCCTGTTGTGCATCATCATCCTTATGTGGGACAGTTTCTGTATGATAATCCCCGAAATGGGATCTCATTCGTGCCATCTGTGCCGTTGGAACACTCACTGATCCAAGTTGTGGGGATTACTAGTTCAGGGGCCTATCTGGAAGCAGCCTCAAATGTGGTTCCTTTTTTGGCTACGGCACATGGCTTTCTCGGTAGGAATCCGGGTAGTCCAGCTGGTTCTTTGCCAGTTTATTTCACGGTGGCAACTTTGATAGAGAAAATTGTAGGTCCATTATCAGCTGGATCACTGAGACTGGCCTCTACTGATGTTAGGGTGAACCCCATTGTTCGTTTCAATTACTTCAGCAACCAGGCTGATGTTGAAAAATGTGTGAATGGTACGAGAAAGATTGCTGATGTGCTCAACAGCAGGTCCATGGATGATTTCAAGTCTTTTCACCTGTTGTTTGGGAGCAGGGATTTTCGGTACGTTGGACCAGCATTGCCTGCTGATGTGTCGAATGATGCGGTGATGCAGGATTTCTGCCGACAGACAGTGAATACAATATGGCATTACCATGGTGGATGCCTGGTTGGTAAGGTGGTGGATAGGAACTTGAGAGTAATGGGGATTGAGTCGCTGAGAGTTGTGGATGGATCGATTTTGACAGTTTCACCAGGGACCAATCCTCAAGCTACTCTTTTGATGCTTGGGAGGTGAGTAACCTTTGGAATATTGTTCTTGTGGTATAAATAATATTTGTTCAAATTAAGGGCCTAATTGTGGAACTAAGTTAAACATATTTCTGATCAGTGTCTTTTTGTTTTCGTTGTTGTTTGGCTTTGTTGGCAGGTACGTAGGATTGAAGGTTCTGAGGGACAGAATGAGGCCTAAAGTCATTTGATGAATAGAGAGGGAAGACACCATCAAGTGAGATGAACCTTTGTTTCTCTTTTTTTTTTTGAGCAGCTGTACATATGCAATCTGTGTGAAGAATCAGTAGCTTGTGAATGTTGAGCTAGGAGGAGAACTTGAATTCTTGTTTTGTTAGTGTCCTTGGTGATGATAGCTGCTGATATTGAATTTGTGAGTACTAAGAGAACAGAAATTGACATGATGTACCGGTTTCATGAGTCAAAGAAGAGTAGATGGAGTGCATGTTAGCAGCAGTAACAGCATATGTTCATAGATTTTTCCAATGTGCAATGAGCAATACACATAAACTTTTTTCCCTGTCCTTTTGGTAATGGTTTTTGCTGTGTTGATGAGAGCTTAAGATGTTAGGACTTAGGCATGAATAGATGAAATGTTTAAAATTTTGTAAATCAACGTTCATTTGCAGTCTCTAATCTCTCCGACTCACTGATTCTTTTGCATATTATTTGTCATTGTCTTAATGTACTGAAGTATAAGGCACACCGTGCTGGATGACCTTACTAGGAAATTTCTTCATGTAGTGTTTCAAGGTTGTTTTCTTCAGATGCTTGGATAAAAAGCATTTCACATGAAATAGATGCTTTAATGAGCATGATCGATTAAGTGGCGATGTATTTAGTTGTTCAGTGGGCTACATCTTGTCATTAGTCCAGGTGGAGTTGCTACAAGTTTTTGGTTTTAGGAAGAAATGCACTCTTCAGTAAGTTGGTAGATATGCAACTTGTATTTATATGTGTTTGTACTATTGGGGTGTGACTGGGGCATAAAAGTGCAACTGAATAAATTTTTCTATAATATTTAGAGTGGGGGGTGGGTGTTGGGGTTTGGACTACATACTATTTGTTGTGGGGTGGTGTGTTCGATGACGTAACTGAGTTTCTAAGCTATTTGTGATCAAGTGTTCATCAAAACTCATCTGATGATAAATGGTACAACATTGAAGTCTTTCTTCTGACTATCTAAATCATAATTTTCCAGTATTTCTTGCTATTCCTCCATGTCTGAGTGGTTTTGTTTCCCTGGGTTTGCATTTAGTTCCTGGCAAATTGCTTTAATTCTTTGCGCCTCCCTGCTTGTTGTGAGGCTCTTGTGGTGAATGTGCCTTTGTTTGACAACAAAGCTAGACCAATAACCAGGTGATGTTCAGAGGCAAAGGTTGTTGGTTGATGTTTATTTGGTCTAATTTCTATCAAGAATGTTCACTACTAAAAGTGTCTTCTCTACGGTTTGCTTACTTTTTGTTCCTTTAAGGTATACTACTGCAATCGGTGCATCAGAGGTTTGATGCCAGTTCTTTTATCTATGTTTACATGCATTGCGATATTTTAAATTTGATCTCTTCTTATTCATTTGATACTTTCCTATTTCATATGGGTGCATTGATGATATATGGAAGATTCGTAGAGTTTTTAAATAATTATTTTGAATTATGAATCTGGAAATGGAAATTAAGAATTACAAAGATTCTAAACCTCAGCAGGAATTATGAGGTAATGGATGGTATTTGTATTGGCGTCTTTCTTAAACTCTAGTACGCTGGAATTAACGTGGTCTTGTTGCTGCTCCATAGAAGCTAGTTTTGTTTCAACCAATTGATAAAATTGGGACTTCGTAATTGTGATAGCTTAACTTTCGACATGTACATATGCTTAGGCCGAACTGTGGTAAGTCTTATGAAAGGCAAATGTATTTAAAGAATGTCATAGATGGAGCAAGAAAGAGACCAATATCTTCTTAATTCTGGATATAGCTTGGCTTAGATAATGTGGACAGGCTTGATTTAGTGATGTAGCAATCTGTTCTTCCACTGAATTCCTTACTGCTTTTTCTTGAAGCACGTGAAGTTTGACCTGACATTTTCAAGTGAGTGCTAGCATGTAACAGTAATGATTCCATAGAAGTAACTTAAACTTTTGTTCCAGTGCACGTAAGTTTCCAATTGGAAGATCGAACTTGTAAATACTGACTACATGAAGTATGCTACAACCAGTAACTTCTCTTTCTGCGCCACTTTCTATTTTTGATCTTTTTACTTGATGAAATGTTCTGGTAATGCCCTTGTGGAGAGGATTCAGGTTGCACTAGTTACCACTCACTCCATGAAAGGAATTAATTCCTTAATTTACTGACTGTGTGTTACTTGTTATAGTTAGCTGGTAATGCGCCATCTGTTTGCTTTATAGCAATCTTTCTGTGGTCAGTATGGGGAACATTTTTCATTTTTTTTTTCTTTTCCTTTTCATTTGGTTTTGGTTTTAATCTAGAATGTAGAAGCTTCTAGTGTATGTACAATTTAACATAAGAAATGCATACTGGATTTGAGTTTAAGTGGAAAATGAAAAACAAAGAAAATGTTTTCAATAGGCTGTCATTACTTTCTCGTCATATATCTTTAATTCTACTTTGTTTTGATTCTTGAGGATTTTGGTAAGCATGCATGTGCTTTCCCTCTACCTGTGTCGTAGAATTGCCAAAGTTTGATTTTAGTTTATTTAGGGACTATAATCAACTTCTGCTGAGGCTTAACAGTCACTCACTCAGCTAGACTTCCCAATAAGCCTACAATAACTTCCTTTCTGTTTCTCGGATGCCCTGCATAATTTTCTTTTTTTCACCCCCCTCAATTTAATAGCTTAATAAACAGCCCACCAACCAATCTTTATTGGTGAACTGGCTTCTTCTTAACAAGGTCATAGTGATCTTATCTGCTGCCTCCTACTAATAATGATTAGTGAGAGTCTGGCAGAAGGTTTTTAAATAATTATGCCAATGCATACGAGTGTTGGTCCGTTCTGGGCTTTCTCTTGTGCGGTTATTTCAGCACTTTGCTGGAATTGAATACTTATCAACGTATATCACATGTATTTATTTTTGTAAGATTCACGGATTGATGATTTTCTTGTCATTTAGGGCTTGTTTGATTACCCAACTTAATTCACAGATTGGTTTAAAGCTTGTTCGATGATAATATTTCAAACTACTTAATTTATCAAAAACTACTTCCCTACAGTTCGCTATGCTGGAATTGGAAATGGATGATCATCTTGTCTTTGAAAAAGTAGATGGTTATTTTAGTTAACTTAGTGAAACTGAAGTTATGTCATAATTTGTGTAAGTTATTCCTCTAGAAAACTGACATGGGTAGTATTGGAACTGGATCATGTTTAGTTGCATAAGTTGTTCTGCTTTTAACCAAACTATATTATAGATCAAACTTGAATGGATTAGCTCTGTGCACCAGATGAGTCAAAGAGTACCTTTTCAAACATTTCAATGAATTAAATTTACTATTTGATGTATAATGTCCCTCTGAGATTGAATGTTTTCATATTTGCTTTTGAGTACTGTAATTGGAACAACTTACCAAGTCTTTGCAGTGTGTGTACGTAGTTCATTTCTTTTTCTTGGGTTTTTACCCCCATGCGATGGTTATTGAGGGTGGCTGAGCTCAACATCTCTGCAGTTTTCTTGAGGGTTTCTTTATTGGGCTCTTCATCTACTCCAATTGCCATGATGGCTTTTGTCCTCTTAGCCGTCCTTACAATGCTCATGAAACTCAAATTGACGTTGATCTCTCCAAGAATATTCTTATAAAAAAAAAGAATATATTCCCAACTCGGCGAATCATTCCCGGTTTATCCACTTGGTGACAAAATATCAGATTTCCTTCCAGACTTACGTGTGTGCTAATCGCGTTAATTCAATTATCATGCATATCTTCATATATCGTGATATGAGCTTTCTCCCTTTAATGCTGTTTTGTTGATAATTAAATTCAGTGGTTTGGAGTTTAGTTGTTGCTCGTTGTTAAAGTGACAGGAATCTCTCATGCTTGCTGTTTTGGTTTATGTTCATATCTGTTCTTTCACTTCTAGAAAGTTACTTCCTTCTCGTGATGCCGGGCTAGGAATTTGATCCCCAGTCTTGTAAGAAAGTTCAATCAGGTTGGCGTGCCAATTCTGGTTGGGCATTTGAGGATAGGAACCGCAGTGGTTATTGTTATTTTGATTGAGAAACAAAATCTTTAACTGTGTAAAGAATAGGTTTTGATGTTAGATTAATTGGATGTGGCTAGTTATATTATCTATGTGCTCTTCCATACTGCTTTTTAAGGATGCGTGTTTGGAGGAGCCCATGATAGTGTGTAACGTGGACTCGGCGTTTGAGTGCCAGATACCCCTGTTAAATATGGCTACATATGTTAATAGGGTAAGTTTTGGACAGTTTATTTGTGTACTTCTGTGTTGCTTATCAACATTTGTAGCTACCACAGGGGAGGGCATGCCAGTTTTTTTAGTCTGTATGTTGAACTAGGCCATTTTATTCTCGTTGATGTCAATTGTAGTTGCTATACCTCCAAGTTTACTTTTTTCTTTGCAGAATAGGGGTTCGATGAATACATGAGCTTGGTTCTTGATGATAGTCAATAGGTTCTTGAATGCCACATTGTGTAGACCACTTTAAGGGGTTACATATGGCCATGAGAACTTGAATTTTTTGATGGTATGAATTTAAATTCCTAGTAATCAAATTGCCTTCAGAGTTTGATTGATGAAGTGAATTGCTTCCTACTTGCTATCAATTTCTCATGATGTGGTTTCTGTGTTTGGGGCATATTATAGGATGTAGTTCTACTTTTAGCCCAACTGAATATACTAGTGAATGATCTGCGGAATGTCCAAAAAAGAAAGCGTTGATGAAGCTAGTTCATTAATCTCAATACAAAAGAATCTGGGAATGCTGAGCAACAAACTGAATTTGGATTACTAAAAGATTACAGACCATTAACCTTTCTGCTCAGAAATGCTAAGCAGCAGCAGCAGACCAATATTGTTGTAGATTTGTATAGTAGTCCCAAACATTTATTCTCAAAACAATCCACACAGCAAAACAACCAAAAGCTCAAAAACTTCAAAAGAATATTGGTCAGTAAAACATTTACTAACGTCTGCACTAAACTCCAAAAGAAGAATAAGGCAGAAAAAAGAAAGAAGAAAACAAACAATGAATTTATGAAACTCGCTTATTCAGTTGACAGAATGTTAAATTACATCTCATTCCATCTCTATGTACCATCCCTACAAGCACGAGTAAACATTTCCTGTAATGAAGTCTTTTTTTTTTTTCTCAATTTTTTTGAATTGTGTAATTTGTTACAACAACAGACATTGGAAATTGTAGTTAATCATGGAAGTGGAGAGCTTAATCCCTCTTGAGAAGACAGAGAATGGAGATTGTACTGCCTTCTTACAGGGAAAGATGGCTTCTTCCTGAATGATGGCCGCCTCTTGAGATAATGCAAAGTTCTCTTTGTGTATAGAGACCGGAAAAATGGAGTAGTCCTCTCTTTGATCTTGAGAATAACGAAGAAGAGAACTCTATAAAACAAGAACAGGCAATACAGGCCAAGAAGATCCCACCATTTCGAATGATCCAATGTTAATCCAAACATGTTTGTCAACACATCCTCGCCCTTGAGTTTTGGCTCGCCGGGTATCAAAGGATCGAACCAAATTCCTAGCAAATCGTTCTTGTAGCCTCCCTGCCATAACAAAGGTTATTCTTTTAGTATCAACTTGGAAACTAGACATTTTTTTGGAGTTCAAACAGAACCTTGATTTCATATAGTTCTGAAATGTTCTTTTTCCAGGATTGCAATTTCTCTTTTGGCAGGGGTTCTAGTTCAGGAAATGATGTCTGGTAGAACTTTGGAGAAAATGAAGTTAAATGATCCTGTACCTGTAGAGACCAGGAGCCATAGCTTAAAAAGGAAACTGGATAGCGCCAGAATATCTTTGGAAGATCAGGCAACAAACGGAAAAATCCTGCAGTCATCATCATGATTCCCTGGTTGCAGAAATTCATTGGATCAATAACTCGTTTGCTTAAAAAGAATCACACAGAAAGTTGCATTATGTTTAGACGACGACTTTAACTAGTTAGTATATTTTTTAAACTTACTAGCACTCCAGCCCCTGCTATGATTCCCATCAAGAAGTTTGGTACCAAAGAAGCTACAATCATCATGCAGCTTTCCACAACAGCAATGCAGCCAAAGATATTTAAGCAGAAGTAAACGTAGTGAGAAAATCCAGAATGGAATTTCACCATGAAAAATGTAATAGTTCCGGTGATGATAGAGATTGCAGCTAGGAAAGGAAAGGAAGACAGGAAGTTTGATAGCACAAACACACCAACTCCATAATGTCCATTCAATCTTTCTCGATAGAATACCTGTTGACAAAGAAAACCTTCAATCAGCTCTTTTTTTTTTTTTTTTTTTTTGTTTTTAGTGTCCTGATATGAAAGCTTACTAAATTTCTACAATTTACCTTCATCTCTTCTATGAAAGATGGGAAGCCACCAATTGACATGAAAGTCATGAAACCTGTTACAAATCCACCACAGGCTCCCCGAGCCAATATTGCAGTATAACTTGTGCCAACGTCGTAAAATAATGTGCCAACACAAATGGCCACAACTATGTAGATTCCAATGCGTGACCAGTAGTAACCAACATCGCGGCACATGTTTACAAAAGACCTCTGAGTTAATGTGAATAGCTGTTTCCACCATCCCGCCTGGCTTCCTTTGATCCTGTCCGTCTCAACGCCTTGCTGCAGTTCATTGAACTATGTAAGGTGATTTGTTCAAAATGAAATAAATAAATGTGTCAAATAATCCATTCAGAATGCCTAATTGGTCATAGTTTCATCTTGATCAATACTCATGGATACTAACAAAGAAAATGAATTAAACAGTTTCTTTTTTTGGTTGGATGAAAGATATCAGGGGTTATACACATTAACTTTCTTGCATTCAGCTTCTCCTGAACTGAACTTCAACATGAACTTACCAAGTTAGCAATTTCTTGAATTCTTGATCTGGTCTTTGATGCATATTCTGAACAACTGTATTTTTGGATAAGCATTGCTTTGATATCTGTGGTTGAAAGATTACTGAAAGGATCTGATAACTTATCAGTTTCCTGTCATCAAGAAGCCAAAACACAGATTCTGTTCAGCATTTATCCTGAATAACTGAGTTCAATTTGAGTGAAGAAAATATGTCCATTTCACTTCCAAAACTAAACTAGGGTAAAAGTAACAATGTCATTCTTGTATTAATAAAAACTTTTCAAAACCATAGGAGCAACATATTAACCAGTTAAATGTCTCACAGTTCAACTAGCCTACTAAAGAACTGAATAGGAAAATATCCTAACAAACACAATAAAGGAAAAGCAGAGTTGAGTTAAATGATAATCCATACTCGAAGTCTTTGAGAACCTCGAAGAGTTGCTGTCACGACATCAAAATCAGAGTTGATGCACCGCAAGAAGTGGTCAGAAGGATTCCTCCGGCTTGGGCATGGAAATCCTGCTTCTGCAAAAAACTGTAACCGGAAAAAAATAAAAATCATAAAATGGTCACTTAGCAGAACAACATTTCTCTATGAATGAGTAGTACCACATATACTACCATACCTTAATGGCCGTTTTGGCTTCTCCAAAATAAACCATTTCTCCACCTGACAGTAAGCAGAGATCATCAAACAATGCGAAAACTTCACTACTCGGCTGGTGAATCGACGATATCACTGTCCTTCCATCGCGAGAGACATTCTTGAGAGCTTGGACGACGAAGAAAGCTGAGGCACTGTCAAGACCACTTGTTGGCTCATCAAGAAACAAGAGCCGAGGGCGGGTAAGAAACTCAAGCGCGATGCTCAATCTCTTTCTCTCCCCACCACTTATACCCCTCAAATGCCAACTTCCAATCAGGCGATCGGCACAATCTTGAAGCCCCATTTCCATTATTGTTCCATCTATGATCCCTTTTATGTCTTCCTTAGTCAAGGAAGCTGGAAGCCTAAGATGTGCTGAATAAGTGATGGTCTCTCTAACGGTTAGTGTTCCCAGTAATACATCTTCTTGTGTCACGTAAGCCTATAAAACACCATCCATTTCAACATCAAAAGATATGGAAAATTATAAAAGTTGGAAAAATAAGTAATAACATTCATTCAAGAAAATGTAGAAGATAAATTGAATGAACTAGACACTGGATTTGTCAGTCCACTCTCTGTAGCAGATCATGTTGAAAAGTACTAATAATTTCTCCGTCCCAAAATAAGATAGTTGTTTTACCAAATTTAACAGTTGTTTAACTCGTATACTCTTATTTTGGAACGTATAAAGCAATATAATGTAAGGCTAACTTCTGTATATAGATAAAGCATATATATATCTATATATACTTACAACTACACCAAAGTCCAGTCTTTTTTTCTTTCCGTTTAGAAGAATATTTCCTGTCATGACTACATTGCTTGAGAGCCTACCTGCAGAAAAGATCAGTAACATTGTTAAAAATTACTCAATTTAAGGGGAGAAGAAAAGTTTATCTATACATTTCCTCATGTGGAAATTCATGACTTAGAATACCATTGCTATATATTTTCGCTTTCGTTAACATATCACCTCTGTAATTACACACTCTCTTCCGTTCAAGGAAAATAGTTTAATTTGTTGAACTGAAACAATATAAAAAAGTGGATTATTTTACTCTTGTAATATCTCTCACAAACGGATTTTACACATTCTTGTATTTTCTTTAGTATTCATTACACAATTGTCAGGGTGTGTTACTTGTTGGTTCAAAACATTGTTGTTGGACAATCCGATTTTTTATTTTTATTTTTTTAAAAAAACATGTTATTCATTTTATTTTGTGGCCTAACTGCTTAAGGTCATGTGTAAGCAACAACTTCAGATTTATTTTATTTTATTTTTTTCAAGAGATCCATTGTTGTTTTATAATGTGGATGATATGATTAAAATGAGATGGATGCATAAGCGGCTAGCAATTTAAACAATAAAATCATGTTTTATTTCAAAATTTTACCATAATTTCTTAATCCTAAATACTTCATAAACCTTTTTCACGTGGAAAATAAAAAAGTCGGTATCAAAAGAAAAAAGGCGTATGACATTGTGTGTGTGTGTGTGTCATAACTAATACTTAACTAACTATATTTAGAAATAAAATCATTTATAGGTTGTATCTTTTTATAACTCGTGATAAACAATAACTTTTTTTAAATAAACTCCTCATTACGGTCGAATTAGCGAATCATGAAGATATGAACGAGAATGTTTGAAATGATTCGTTCATACATTTTTAAACGAGTAATTGTAAGTAGCAGTTTCGTAAAATCATACTCTAATTATGAAAGAGACTGTGTATGTATATCATCAATGTACTATGTGATTTGGTTGGAGAGAGTCAAAAAGACTTCTCATCTCATCTCATCTCATTCTCTCCTAATTTTCCAATCTGTAATTCGATATATTCTTTCCGTCCCAAAATAAAAATTTTATTTCATTTTCTCTTGATCAGTACTAAATTTTTGGAGATCCAAACGAAAAGAAAACCATTCTTTACCTAACCATACACACGATCATTGTATGTACTATCAAAAAACATAATAACAATTGTGAAAAAAAAAAGAGACATAAAGAGACCACAGAGAGAAATTAATCACGAACCTGCCAAGGAATCAAGAAGAGTAGATTTGCCAGAACCAGAAGGACCCATAATAGCCATAATTCTACCAGGTTCAGCATACCCATTGATCCCGTGAAGCAGCTTCTTCGTCGGTCCGTGCCCGAAATTCGGCAAAACCACCGTCAGATCTTCCCACACCAAGTAAGCTACACCTCCACCATTTCTTCCTAACTCCATCATTCCTCCTCTTTCTATATCTCCTCCTTCAATCTCCATTTTCTCTATAGCCTTTATTTTTTTTCTTTTTTTTTTGGTTGGGTTGGCAGAAAATAATAGTACTAGACTAACTACTTGTAATAGTAGTAACAAATAAGTGAAGATGATGATTGAATCATTATTATTCCAGGAAGAAGAAGAAGAAGAAGAAGAAGATGGGAGGTCAATATTTTGTGCACAAGAAAGAAGAAGAAAGAAATGGACGGCTGCCTACACACAATTAAAGTTGGTTGAGAAGTGAGGGAAAAATTAAATGTTTCATGGGGTCACCGATTTTAGTGTGTTATAGTAATAATGTACATTTTGCCATGCAGTTGGCTGTCAATAAAAATGGACCTAATTTGGCATTTTCATTTTCAATTTTTCTTTTCTGCACTGACCAGATTTGCATGTTGTAACTAACAGATTTAATGTGATACGTGACAATGTGACAGGTTTTTTGTGGTTGTTTTCTTTGAAACCTTTAAGCTGAAGAAAGAAATATCGATCCTTTGTATGTATCCTTTTGGGCAGGGGAATAAATGCGTTTCATTGCTAGTAGTTTTATGATATTGCTACTTATTTATTACTACTTCTACTTTTTCTTTTTTCTTTTTTTTCTTTTACTATCTTTTTGGCCACTCATATGAATAATGATAAGTGTGATCTGAAAACAACGTGCCAACGTTTTCACACAGAAAATAAACTACCGGCCACGACGACCGGCCCCGTACATATATAATACTACATCGAGGAGAAGATGGGAGCAGAAATATATCTTGTTATTGTGTATTTTTATTAAAATTCCAATTTAAATTATTATTAGTATTCATTCGGTCTCATAATAATTATTTAATTTTACTCTTTTTTTTTTTAAAAAAAATCATTTCGAGAGGGAGCAATGGATCCAAGAAGTTTACAAAGTAGGAGTAAAATATACTCCTTCTGTCTCAAAATTATTATCCAGTTTGAGATTTTAATTTTAATATAATTTGAACTAAAAATGAAAAACTTAAATCGGACAATAATTATAGAACTGAAGGAGTAAAAAACTAATATAGAATTCTACTAAAATTTTTGTAAATCTCTATTAAATCAAAGAAAATAAGGACAATGCAATCTCAACTTAATGACTGAGTAATTGTGTAGAGACTCAAGGAATGCACCTCTCTTGCTTTTAACATCTGCTCTACGAATTTTATTTTTTTTTCTGTCTTATGTCATACTACAAATTATCTGTTTGATCGACGTGTATGTATCTTTGGTCCGATGTTTGAAGTTTGAACGTCGCTATTGGAAATTAAAAGCTAAACCTCGAGAACATGCATGGGAGGTACACTCTTAACTACTAACGCCTTCTTTCATTCAATTATTAGCAAAACTTTAATGTAACTGCAACAAATGGACTTCACAAATGATTGATGCTCCTACTACTAGTGAAGTACTATTATTCATAGAAGTCTATGTGCTATACCTCAAAACCAATTGGTAATGAGGGGAGTAGCCCATAGATTTATATATTGATATCAAATCTCTCCCATCACTAATGTGAGATACTCAACACTTCCCCGCATCTACAACGCATCTTCTTGGGTTGTGCTTGTCTATTTTTCTTCAGCCCAGTCACCGCCTCACGTCTCAGCCCTACCAGTTTTATCACATCAGGCTTGGAGTCCGACTCTTGGCAGGCTGGCTCTGATATCATATAGAAGTCTATGGGCTCCACCTCAAAATCAATTGGCAATGAGGGGAGTAGCCCATAGACTTATATATTGATATCAAACCTCTCCCACCACCGATATGGGATACTCAACATTATTCTCTCAATCAATTGATGTTTTCTACTATTGAAAGAACACGAAGTTTAGGGTTTTCTGATTTGGGGGAGAAATCCTGATTTCTGTATATTCACGATGAAAAAAACATAAGTGTCGTTTCTGTACAGTTTGCTTTTATACAAAGACTTATTGACTAAGCCAACTAATCCTATTTACACATTTACACCCTATACTATGTACAAATACTATTATAAACTATACAATAATAAACTATACAATTCAACTATCTAAGTCCCTGAAATCAAGTACTCCATTCTGTGATTGAGAATTAGACATGCTGGCCAACATGACCTCCTCAAGATGAGCTTGGGACAAGCCCATCTTGCCAAGTAAGACATCAAAATGAGGAGAAGGAAGAGACTTGGTAAGCAAATCAGCAATCTGATTAGAGGAGCTGATATAATTAAAAGAGATGAGTCCTTGCTTGTACAAACCTCGGAGCACATGACAATCTATGTCAATGTGCTTGGTCCTTTCATGAAAGACCGGATTGGTAGAGATGTGAAGTGCATCCTTATTGTCGCACCAGAAAGGGATGGGAAGACGAACAGAAACCTGCAAATCTTTTAGAACATAGCTAATCCACTGAAGCTCTCTGATAGTGATGGCCATAGCTCTATACTCTGCTTCAGCAGAAGAGCAAGAAACAGTGCATTACTTCTTGGTTTTCCAAGAAACCAAGCACTTCCCCAGAAAAATACAGAAACCTGTCAAAGAACGTGGTGAAAAGATACAGTTACCCCAATCGGCATCACTATAAGCCTCAGGCTGTAAGGAAGTAGAAATGGGATAGAACAACCCCTTAGAAGGACAACCAGTAAGATAGCGAATCGCATGCATGGCCGCCCGCCAATGAGATTGTAGAGGAGACTGAATAAATTGGCTCAGTTGTTAAACAACATAAGCAAGATCGGGTCGAGTGTAATTTAGATAAAGAAGTATACACACTAATCTGCGGCATTTGGCAGGATCAGGATATGGTGAACTAGAGTCTTTTGCTGAAAACTTAAAATCTTTGGGAAATGGCATAGAAACAGAATGGCAATCTACATCTCAGTGTCCCAAAGGATATCAATTACATACTTATTCTGACAGATGTAGAAACCAGCAGAAGACCTAGCGATTTCCATAAAATACTTAGCTAAACTGAGGTTTTTTATAGAAAAAGCGGCATCCAAAAAATTCTTAACTTTGGCAATCATGGCTTCATCAGTCATCCACATAAACCATTAAGAATATTTTACAGGTAGCAGTGATATTAGTAAACAGACAATGATCATTAACAGATTGAACAATGCCGAAAGCCAACAATTTAGACGTAAATTCGGCATTCCATTGCCGAGAAGTCTGCTTAAGACCATAGATTGATTTCTTCAAGTTACACACCTGACTAGAAGTGGCTTTACTATAACCAGGAGGAGGAAGCATTGGTGGGGTGTCAAGCCAACAAACAATATAACCTATTTCTAAACTAATGTCGTACATGAAAGTAAGGTCATCTCCTCAGGGAATGGTGAATTTTTCTCTTTTAAATCAAGTAACAAATAGGGAATTTTGAGTTGTTGAAATAAATTGCAAACGAAACAAAATGCAAACAATAGCTAAAAATGATGCAAAAAAATAATGAGAAAATATCTGGCTGAAGGGTTTGTATATCCACCTTGATTTAAACAACTGATCATAGATGTAATGCTATAATCATTAACTTATGAATGATTAGTTTTCATTGTTGGAACCTTCAAATAATTCAATCTTTCACTTAGTTCAATGATTAAGAAACCTTCAATAATCATATACTAGTTGAAAACAAATCTTGAAATCTCCTAAAATTTAGAAAACTACTGCATTAAACACAAAGTCCCAATCCCAATTTCAATAAAACAAACCTTATTTCATATTAAACTGGATAACTTGTTCTTTAACATAAATAATTACTTACCAAGTAATCAAATTATATTCTACCCTATTTAAACAACAAAACTAGTTGCTTTGTTAGTTTTAGATTATTAAGAGGCACTGAATGCTACCAGCTTTTCGTGAATCCACAATAATCATATCAATCATGCAATAGAACAAGCAAATACTCACAAGAAATTGAGATAGAAACAATATTTAGATCTCACAACTATTCAAACCAAGGCTTCAATACCCTTCAACCAAAAAGAATGAATTTAGCCACTCATCATGGAAACTAAATCACAAGAAAAATTCATTGAACAATGTTACTGATTGATATCTATGAACTTGGAAGACTCCAAAATGAAGAAAGTGCCTTCAAAAGCTTGTTAAAAGTGGAAAACTACGTCTATTTTCTATTCTACTACTTACTACTCCTCCAAAATGAAAAGAAGTGTCTCCTTATATTGAGAAAATAGGTCAGCCGCCAGCGGCTTCTCAGAATTCCGCAGCTGCAATTAAATTTTCCGACAATTTTATATTGGTCCCTAAAGTTTGGTAAAATTATATTTTGACCCTAAAACTTTTTTAATTTTTTATTTTAATCCCTATTTCGGTTTGGCCAAACGGGAATGCAGCATTAATGGTAGAATTTGTTCTCTAAAGCTCAATTTTGGACTGAGGTTTGTGTGCCCACACGAGAATATGTTGTCATTGCTCCCTTCTTGTGCTTCCTTGTCAAATTACTCCGAAAATGCGTGTTTATGTAACATTTTGCTCCATCTCATCTCCAAGCACTCCTAAGAATCAAAAACATCAAAATACATAACATAAGTGCACAATTTAATCAAAAATACTATACAAATACCCATAAATATCATGAAACTTTAAGACCTATCGAGCATATAAACTTCTTGCGTAAGATACCCGTGGAGAAAAGCGTTATTAACGTCCATCTGATGCAGATTCCAGGAATAACAAGTAGCAACAGCAAACAGGATCCTAACAGTAACAGATTTAGCTACCGCAGAGAAAATTTCAGAATAATCCTCACCCTTTATCTGCGTAATGTCCTCTTCCTTTACACTTGAAGCATTGAACATTGGCAGATGAACCCGGTTTAACACTAGGTGTCTTCTCCAATGGCTTGGTAACCTCGGCCGGTTTAAGCAACTGTTTAGGTTGACTAGAACTTGGACCTGTCTGCTTCTTAGGAGTACTCCCCCACCGATTTGAACCAAAGGATGATGTACTAGTGGAAGATGTCCTTGCTCTGCTTGCGGCCAAAGATTCCTTCATTTGCCTCTCAATAGTGTCGGCCTTATCCACCAAATCATCTAGATCATGATAAGACTGTAACTCCACTCTATGTCGAATGGGAAGGTTCAAGCCATGTAAAAACCTTGTTATACTTTGTTCCTCATCTTCTTCCAATTGACATTTAGGCTTCAAAGTATTCATATTTTGGTAGTATTCCATGACCGAACTACTTCCTTGCTTAAGATCTTGCAACTCACCTCGAAACTTCCTTTGAAAGGATGCTGGGACAAAAGCCTTTCGCATTACACGTGAAAGCTCTCCCCAAGTGGTGATTGTGGGATCGTCGTCTCTTCTTCTCCGACGTTGTACCTCATTCCACCATGTAGAAGCATATCCATGAAATTCTGACACAGCTAAATTCAGCTTCTTTCCCTCAGAATAATTGTTGAGATTAAAGATTCGGTTGATATGATCTTCCCAGTCAATATACGCATCAGGATCTGGCTTGCCATGAAATTCTGGAATCTTCTGCTTGATAGTGTTCATGTAATCATCAAATC